CAGGAATAATCTAGGCAGGATCCTATGGAATCTATACATTCTGTGGAAGAATAGCCAGAGAGAACATGGGCTTACTCTATGAGAGAGCAATCAAAACAGACTAGCCACTACTATTCTGAAAAGAACAGTAGTGAGTAATTCAGTTGGGGTTGTTTTTTAAATGCTCCTGTATACTCAGGTCTCTAAGTGATGCCATTTGTCAGCAGCTAGTAAAAGGAAACACTGAAAATTCCAGCCCATTAGGCAATGTATCCCAGTTTAATCACATCAACATAAATCCTAAGATACCAAGAAAAATACACACTGTACCAAAGCAAACCTATGAACATAAATAGGACTTCACCTTGCAATATTCCATTTGGATGACCGAATTTGGATAATACATAAAAGGAAAAAAGAGAGGAGACAGATAATAAATGGCATTTAACTCTTCACAGAAAAATCACAGTATCTATGAATATACCAAATAGTTCATCTCGTGCTTTTTCAGTTGCTTCTTGAAATTTCCTCTCCTTGACCTGTGCATCCAATGCATCTTTATCAACCTATTAAAATGGGGAAAAAAGCTCTTTTAGAGAGTTTAATAATGACAGGTATGATCCTCCACATCAGAACACCACATCTACACGATATACAGAACTATGAAAATTGTGGCAAATTAATAGGCAGAAACATGGATTTCATTTTTCTTCTTTTACTGCCAAGTCACTTAATGTCTTTAAAAACTTTGTCAGAAAACAGTGACAATTCTCCAAGAATCTGGTAAGCTATTTTGATAGAGTTTGTCTAAGAACTATCCAGATGAAGGCCTAAACAGATCATGTCTGAAAACACACATTGTTAGTGCTGTAAAGGACTATAGCAATCAGGCTAAGAGGTAAGTTTGTGAGCAAAGGTGAAACCATAAACAATAGTGTTGTAGGCATTAAATATCACTTTTAGAGGCCTCATTGGGGAATCCAAGCTTCCAGTACAACAACACGAAATACTGCTCAGAGAAACTCAATACCAGGTCATTAGTAGTTGCTGCAATAATACAGGTGAGTCAGTGTGCTGACTTGTGTTACACCACTGCTTCCTCCCATTCCAACAGCTTTCACTTGACAAGAAAACATTCCTAAACAGCCATTCCCAGTCACATAAAATACACAGCACTAAAATATTATGAATAGATTGAAGCAGCCAATACTTGTATTTATGTGTAACATTTCATACATAAATCAAGTGATTTTCATTGGGAGTGAATTCTTTTGACAAATGATTTACTGAGGATGAATTCTTAAATCTGTAAGTGAAGAGAGCACCATCTTACTTTTCTATTATCCAGATGACAAAATAGATAGAGAAGACAAAGAAATAATAAAACTAGTAATAATCAAGGAAAAAATCAGATCTGGGTCCCCACACTGCTTTCCAGTATATTATGTGTGCTTTTAAACTACTCAATCCTTGCTTTAAGATTTGTGGTTTCTAAGTCAAATATTGCTTTGATTCTTCAGTTTTGTCAGAGACAGACACTCAGCTAAACTGGTGAGAAAGAGAGCAAAGAATCTAAAAACCACATGGAAATACTGATCTAGGTTATCCCTGTACAGATTTAATGGCTCTCCATGCTCAGGTACATCAAATGATGTTAATCAAAATACTATGTTAATCGAATCTAAATTATCAGAGCTCCCCAGATAGGCTCTCCTTCATTTTAGATGTTTGTCTAATGTAAACGGATCTATCAAATCCTGTCTAATAAGTCAGTTCTACAAAAGAATTTGAGAAAGAACTTTGCATGGTGTACTTCAGTATTGCTCAATGAAGCTGTTTCCCTGCAGTTCATTAGCTGAGGGTGTGTGGTTTACATTGCATTTTTAAGGCTCTGGAAAAGCCCTCTTACAGAGAAAGTATGTGCTTCTGATGAAGAAACTATCTAAACTAACCCTATCCCACATCTGCTAAGAAATGTTACTGGCTCCTTGCACTTATTCACATGTTGGCTACTGTGTATGTCAGGATGCCGTACCAGGTGGACAACCTGTCATGTTCATTAAGTAGAACTGCTAATTGCTCTGCAGCTATGACGATTCTTGCATAAAAGTGACCAGAATAAATTCAAGGTCCTGTCAGAGATCAGGTGAAGATGTATTTCCATTGACTTGAGACACATTTCTGTACCTGAGATAAGAGGAATCCAATTAACATCTGTTGCAATTCTACCAGGACAATGAAATCAACAGATTTGGTTTACTTTCACTAGTTCTGAATTTGGCTCTACACTAGTTAATGCTACTTACAGACAATCTATGTATCAGCATATTGATATATGCATCACTCAAAATACTTTATAAGCAAAATTTAAATTTACTTCACCTCACAGAGCTCCTCTGTCCACACACAGAATCTTAATGTGGGACTTTGGACATATTACAGGGAGCCTCAATATACTATTGCATCCAAATGTTAAACAGGTATAAAATATGTAATTTTCTGACATTCAGGATGCAAACTGCAGAGTGGACTCCAGAGAAAACCCTCCAGGATGAATCTGCACAGCCTGAAAGGTGTTCACATTCTGACACCCACGCCAAGGGAAGCCAGGCACACTAATTCCATGTACATAAACTACCTTATTTTGCTGGATGCAAAGCAGGGATCAGCTGTGGGACCCTGTCAGCAGCACATCTGTTACAGCACCAGCTCCAGTGAGAACCAAGCAGGCAAGGGCAGTATGGGCAGGGGTGGAAAACAGCTCCTTGTTGATGCCACGTGGTGTGAGCTGACCCTGCAGGTCCCTGGCTTACCCCGAAGTAAAGCCAGCAACATTAACTAACCAACATGAACTAATATTAACTCCTGCACAGAGGAGCCAACACAAGGCTTGATCCTCCCTGCCCGTTCAAGGAAAACAAAACCTTCCCCTTGAACCCTAGAGCAGCCGGGC